ATGTTTTTTCCCACCATCCCATGTTTTTTCCACCCCTTCTATGACTTTTCCACCCATTCCATGATTTTCCCACCCATTCCATGGATTTTCCCACCCATTCCATGGATTTTCCCACCCATTCCATGGATTTTCCCAACCATTCCACGTTTTTTCCATCCATTCATGATTTTTTTCCACCCATTCCATGGATTTTCCCACCCATTCCATGTTTTTTTCCACCCTTTCCATGATTTGTCCATCCCTTCCATGATTTTCCCACCCATCCCATATTTTCCCCACCCATCCCATTATTTTTCCCACCTGCATCCAGGCACATTTCCAACCCCTCCTCCTTTTCCCCAACCCCTCTACCCCCTCCAAAAACCCGGGGGCGCCCCCAAAACCCCGACAGCGCCGCAAGGGAAACTGAGGCACGGCTAGCGCGGGAGGAGGCGGCAGCAGCAGCAGCAGCAGCGCATCCCCCGCATCCCAAACGCCTCTCCCTCCCTGGAATTGCTGTGCTCTCGGCTCTCTCGCCGTGATTAACGCCGCTGGAAAGTTCTGGAGCGGGGGATCCAATCCCAGCCCCATTCGGCGGGGTGAGCGTTCCGCCGCTCCTCTCCCCGCCTCGCCGCAATCTGCGCAAATAGGCTTTTAAATTAAGCAGTGATTTGGAATATAAGTGAGTGCATTTAAGCCGCTAAGAGACGGAAAGATCCTAATGGCTGAAATATTTGTCATATCACAAATAAACTGGCCGGATCGGGAGCCGCTAATGTAACTAATTTTTACCCAATCCTTGCCTGCTCTGCGAGAGAAAATGAGGTCAGCGCAGGTTGAGGCAACAAAAAATGAGCATCTGCCGGGAGGCAGAGCGGAATACTGATCAAGGACTCTGCAGGAACCGCGCTGCCCGCCCGCCCAAAGCGGAATCGGTTTGCTCAAATTAAGGCAGAGCTTTCTCGCCGAGCGCGCAGGGTTTAATGGAAAGGTGCCGGTGAGCGCGGGATGGCAATGGATCCGGAATACAAATGCGTTGGCAGAGCTGGGATGGTCGGGTTTTTTATCCGGGGTGTGGGAGAGGGCAGGAGGGTGATCTGGGGTGGTTGATGAGSGTCCTTGGGATTCCCGCAGCTCCGGCGGGGTTTTTCCATTCCAGGAATTAAACCCTGACTTAATGTGTCACTCAGGTGGAGTGAAATGAGGAGGAATTCAGAGGATTTGGCCCAGTTTAATGGTAAAAAAACAAAGCCCTGCTCCTCCAGGATCCAAGGGGAGCCCCCAAAATCCCCAGGCTTGTGCCAGGTCAGGGCACTCACAGTGAGAAAAACACACCTTGGGAAGAGGGAACAGCTCCTTGTCTTGTTTTTCCTGCCCTGTTCTAAAGGCTGCCCCAAATTTGGGGTGCAGCCATGGCCTGGTTCTGTGGGAAAAATCAACAGAATTGTTTGCATTCTCATGAAAGGATCAAGAATGCTTTGGAAGGGGAATTTTCTCCCTGCTTTACAGGTGTGAGCAGCCTGTCTGATGAAGAGGAAGATTTTGGTCATGATATTTGGCCCTTTTTATCCCTAAACATCAAATGAGTGAAAAAGAAAAAGGAACTCCATTGGTCAAATGGGAAGCTGAGGCACAAAATGTATTCTAAAAGAATCATGGAATATCCTGGGCTGGGAGGGACCCACAGGGGTCACCCAGTCCCACCCCTGGACCTGCACAGACACCCCAAAAATCCCACCCTGTCCAAACTCCCGGAGCTCTGGCACCTTCAGGGCTGTGCTCAGCAGCCTCGGGGGACAGAAGAACTTTTCCTAAAATCCATCCTGACCCTGCCCTGGCACAGCTCCACCTCATTCCTTCRGGACTTTTATAAGGAAAGAGCCCAAAAGTGGCAAAAAAAAACTGCTCAGAGAGGGACCCAGGGCATCCTGTTCTTATTTAGGATGAATTTTAATGCAGGACCCYTCAGATATGACCCCAAATCCTTGTGCCACGTGAGCAGGGCTCTCCTGGGATCAACCCACAGGGAACAGCAGCTAATTTAAGTAAAATAAACTCGGCATGGATTAACAATTGCAACAATTCCTAAATGGAACAGGAGAGGGGTTCATATTTGATAACCATTAAACGGTTTAATGAAATAATTATAACCCAGGCTCCTGAGCTTGGCCACGATCAATAACCACGAGCTCCGAGCAGCAGCACAAGCCCAGCTCTGCCGTCCCCATAAATGTGATCGACACTAAAGTTGCATTAAACCCCCATCAAGGGCAGGGATGGATGAAAGCCCTGCAGTGGGCTGGTCAATACTCTTCATTTCCTGCATCAGCCCCGGCTCTGTGCCCTCCCTGCCGCTCTTAGCGGGAGTGGGTTCGCTGTCGATGCATTAATGTCACCTCAGCAAGGCGGGGAGCGTGGCATTATCACCCCACTCTGTCCCAAACGACAGCCCGGGGCCTCTGCGGATTATTTGTAAACCTGGCTTTACTCAGCACACTCAAATGTTTAACGCCAGCACTCCTTCAGTGATGGTTCCTCCTTTAAAAAGCTCTGAGAGCTGCTCCAAAGCTCCTTTTCTTTGCATTTTGCAGGGTTTGAAGAAATGCATTTTGCATTTTGAAGGAAGAAATGCATTTTGCATTTTGAAGGAAGAAAACAGTCTGATTCCAGAGCACACCCAGGTTTCCTTCCCTCCAGAGCAGAACACTGAATATTTTACAATAAAGCCATAGGAAGGAACAGAGGAAGGAACCTCTGTACATTTTACAATAAAGCTGTAATAACAGCAATAATTAAGCAATTATTAATTACAATAAAGGAACCCAAAGCTGTTTTTCCTGTTTTTATTCCTGGATTTCCTGGGTAACCCTTAGGTTTTCCAAGAAGCTGGATTAGGGGTGAACAGCTTGGAAAATCAGCCTGGCCCTACCCCAACTTTGGCTTCCCAACATCGAGCAAGAAGGAAGTTTTTCCTCTTCYCCAGTCCAGCAGGAATCTCCTTCAAGCCCAAACCCGAATTGCAAAGCTGTACTCCAGGGAAAAAGCCAAGAATACTCAAAAAGATCCTCAAAGGATGGATGAAATAAAAGTTGTGTGTGTTTTCCCTGCATTGGTTTCTTTGTTCTGGCCCCAGGGCAGCGCTGCCCTTGTCCTTCCCCTCAGCAGGGACAGCTCTGGGAGCTTCCAAYCCAATCTGACCCTATAAAGGAACACTTGGGGCTGAAAAAGAAAAATCTTGAATTCATTTTATTAAGCGAGGTAAAAAATCAGGTTTATAAAGAAAGGGATGGAAATGCTTCAAGAACTCGAATTACCCATGAGGTGAAATAAAACCAGGTCTCTTGCAGATAACTCTTTAGGTTTCCTTGTCATGAAYGCAGAAATCCAACAGGTTTGTTATTTATTTCTTTAATGTTTTCACTCATTTATGCACCAGAAGTGCCTGGTGCCCTTGTTCAGAGCTCTGCAGCAGCTCCTTCTGTCCCCTCAGCCCCACATCCCCCAGCCCTGTGCTTGTAGGATTTTGTAGGATTTACCCTGTGAAGCCTCCTCTGTGAGCCCCACCAGGCTGAGGTTTGATCCCGAGCTCTGACAGCCCCCAGAACACCCTGAACCCAACAAAACACCCCAAAATCCCACTTCCCAAACCCCACTTCATCTGGTGTTGCCCCAAGGCAACAAAAGCATTGCACACCATTAATGGGAGGGGCTGCTCTGGAGCATAACAAACATATTTTGGGGTAAATTATAAATATTTTGGGGTGATGCAATTCAAAACTCACTAAAAAAGGGCCCTCTCTGCCATTCTGCGGTCAGGTGCTGCTATCTGGTGGCCCAGCACCAGCAGTGCCAGCAGGGTCCCTCAGCTAAAATCCATTTATACCCTGCTAATTGCCCTCCGTTTTTTTTTGTGATTCATAATTATTATTTTGGTGATTCTCTAATTATTATTAGGATATTTTAACTGCTGGCAATGCACAGGTAATGCAGGGACACTGAGGGACAGCCCTGCCAGGCTCTGTCCTTACCAATGTCACCTGGTTTGGGCTGGACAGGTGAAATTCTCCTCACTGGCTTTGTCCAGGCTGAGTTTGGGGTTTGGGATCATCATTTTTGCTCCTATTGCTCCTGAGGGGGGCACAAGGAGGTGGGAGGGGACAGAGGTGACCCCAAATGAGCCCAGGGATATCCCAGAGCATGATGGAGCTGAGGGAAGCAGGGAGACAGGAATGCTGGTGGAGAACCCTGCCTGCAGCARAAGTAGGGAATTCTTTCCTTAAGTTTTAATTAAATTTTTTGTCAATACCGTGCTCTGGAACAAACCCTGAAATGAAGGCTTGCAGAAGCTGCAGGATCAGAATTTGCCCTCATGGAGGGGAGGATTTCTGCCAGAACCTGGGGCAGGATTGATGGGAATGGCTCAATTCAAACATTTTGTTTTTGGARGTGGGTGATGCCCCACATTAGTCCTTTGACAATGACTTCAAAGTATTTCATTTCAGCCCTGGACTGCATTATTTGTCCTAAATTCTTTTGCCCGATTCTGTTGTGTAAATTTTTATTGACTATACTAACCAATGATATTTGTTAGCCCACTGTTACTATATAAACACACATTTACAGATCTGTATCAATGTTTTTAACAAAACACTATTGAACTGCCACTTGTTGCCACCCCAAAGCCCCCTCCCCAATCACCAATTCCTTCTCCAACCACCACCGAATTTCCTTTCCTGTTAAGCAAGATGCTTTAACTAGTAATTCCTGAAGAACTTTTTATTCTTGTTTTTGCCATTGGAAAATGCCATTTCCTCCCAGTCTGTGATTTCCAGCTTTAAAGTTCTTCTAAAATGCATCCAGACCCTAAATGCCCAAGCAGTACTTAATTCCAAACCTCTTTTTAAACTGCAATACCCACCTCTTCACACCTAAACAGCAATAATTACCTGTAATTAGGTCATTTTCCCTTTAATTCAACTGGTCAACTRCTACAAACACAAGTGAAGGCAGAGACAGTGTGATGCCCATTAAATAGTTTTTATTCTTTAGGACATGAATTGCATTTCCACTCATTTACAGTACTGTAAAGTGCAATGGTATTCATCTCCCACCTGCGCACACTTTCAAGTATTTAAAATGCCCAGAAAAAYTGTTTTTGTTTCGCTTTTTCGTTTTTTTTTTTTTACAGCAGCTCAGTTATGGAGTTTTTAAATCTGGCAAAATAAACCTGGATGTGCCTACAGGTTTGGGTCCTTCACTCCAACCCCCACCCGGGGGTCTCCTCCAACACYAACTGCTAGTGGAATGCATTTCCCAGTGTCCTTAGTCCACCTCCTCGATGGTTGGGCCAGAGGAGGCTCCCCCGGATGGAGGAGCTCCACCCCCTGGGAATCCTCCGGGCATCCCACCGGGCATCCCTCCTGCGCTCTGGTACAGCTTGGTGATGATGGGATTGCAAACCTTCTCCAGCTCCTTCTGCTGGTGCTCAAATTCCTCCTTCTCGGCCGTCTGCAGAAGAGACAAGAGTTCAGATGCTGCTGCTCCTACTCATGGATACACCCCAGGAATTAACSAGCACTATCTGCATTAATTATTCCAAATATTTGGGCTGGTTTAGCCCTACGCCAACTCTTGCCAAGTGGCAAGGTTACTCCTGCTCCGTTTAGCATCTCACACTGATCTCACACACTTTCTAGGACTTCTTCCTAGACTTGTTCTAATATTCCTAGGAAAAAAGCCAGCTGGGAACAGGAGGGATTGAAAACTTGGTGCTCCCAAGCTGTGGTCGCTCAGACATCCAAGGAAGGTACTTGGACCAACACAAGTCTTTCGACTTCTGGTGGAAACTACGAATGGCTTTGGAGTCACTTTCATCAC